CGCGCGCGCGCGCGCGCGCGCGCGAGAGAGAGAGAGAGAGAGAGAGAGAGAGAGAGAGAGAGAGAGAGAGAGAGAGAGAGAGAGAGAGAGAGATGTATCCTCTACATATTCTTGTCGGTGGGGGATACATCCGGTACATATGCTCGCCTGTGTTCGATTATTCACAACTCAGGACCACATACAAATGTCCCCATACACATCAGCAATGACAGACACTACCACATACGAATTTCCCCATACAATGACAGACACCTTAACTGGAAACGCATCTGATTGCTGGAATGTCATAATTCAAAAAGCAAAAAGGCGGGCGAAATACCCGTGCGAGAAAGGAAGCAGACATCAACACGAATATCCCACAAATCGACCCATCAACCTCCATTAAGGAACACTTGAGGAAGTTACGCAAATAAAGTGACACCTAATATCTGAAGAAGAGCAATATATAAGAATTCTCAAACAGCACCAGGGATTTAGGATCCTATAGGCCGGATACATCCACTGCACAATCCCGACCTAGAGAACTGGCCACACATACTCAAACTTGTCCTACAGAACAGATGATCGACGCCATCTTGCATCTGATTGCTGGAATGTCACAATTTGAAAAGTGGAAAGGCGGGCGCAAACCCCGACCGAGAAAGGAAGCGAACATCAACATGAATACCCCACAACTCGATCCATCAACCTGCCTAGACACTCCCTCAACCAGCACTTCAAATCTCATGTTATTGTACCTTGCAGGCAACCCTCGTACCTTTGCCTCTTTATTCAGATAGTCCACAACCGCCTTAAATGCACTAGAAGCGAATGACGCGTCACAGACCGGGTTACAAAACGAGTCGATGAAGTCTACAACGTGCTCTCTGAAATCTACTGAAAGAAGGACCCAGTGTTCGCAATCCTTTTGAATGGGGATGAGTAATATATCGTACTCGAAAAGGAGGACATTTTGCGTCCACCTGCTGACCCCTCTAAAACCTTGCGACTGCAACTTCGTAAAGAAAAAAGAGAGGAAGTTGTACACTTTGAACAGAGATCGACGACAGTTCCTGGTGAGGAGAGCCAAGTAAAAATTAACGACCTCATCGTTAAGCTCGCCGCCTCTATCCAATAATGTCACCATGTCTTTTACCCTAATCACCAAGTTCTCGGCCGAGAGGCGAGCAATAACCATCACCAGCGCTAGGCAACACCGAACAAGCTTGTCCATCAACTTGGACGATTCTTCCCGATTTCCTCCGACGCCTGACATGCATACGTCTGCTGCACAGTCCAACCAAGCAACACGCATGAGCATGAGAAGGATGACATCCTAACTGTCCGATCCGTTCCGTTCTTTGCTTTGCGCTTTAAAAGTATTATAAATCTTCACCCCTCTACTTGTACTTCTAGAAAAGTATGGCGCGGGTACAGGAAGCGGATAAATGATGCACTTCTTGCAAACTTTGATGTGCAACTTCTCAAATATGTCAGAACTCATACCCGCAGCTTCTACAATCTGAATATCCCTTCTCGGCAATCGCGGCATATTCGTCTTTGTGAGAGACTCCTCCGAGTTTCTCCGCACGACACATGAAGGAGATGGCTGACCTGTACAAGAAGTGAAGAAAAGGAGATTATGAATATAACACATCGCCGCACTGCACAACCAAGGGGCAACCAACAATTACCCACATATCCAAATATATCGCTGCCTGCCACATCGAAAAGTAAACTCCTGGTGCTCATACAAAAGTTGGACCCAAACGTGAGCAACTCATGTCACTGATTAAACTCCAACTGCTCATACACTACATAGACCCAAATGTGAGCAACATATGTCACTGCTTACCAGCTACGGCTTCGTGTCGAAGATGTTCCTTCTCGTTTAAATCTTTTGATTGTGGCAAGTCCTTTCCTAGACATGTCGCGCTTAGACCCAACACGAACTCTTCAGTCTGAGCCGATGCCATAATGCCATTTAACCGGGATGAAAACCGGGACAGGTCCTTAATGTCTGCGTCGACGAGGCAAACAACTTTTTCCGGAGCACCGGGGCACAACTCTACAGGACGACCAGCTGTCCCGGCACTCCCACGGATGGTTAAAACTTCATCTTGAGGAGTCAATAATTGTGAAGAGGGAGAGATGACAACGAGGGAATCGAATTCACGGAAAAGTGTCTTGACAAGATCACCTTCGATCGGACGACGGACTGCAACCTCATCCCTTTCCAGCATGGTGACGTCTTCGTCCTCCTTGCACTGGTCCGACACGACTGAACATAAATGCGAGACATACCCACCCTGGGAACCACCACAATGTGCATCACGAGGTGGAGTCTCCTGGTCTTCCACACCCAGGGCAGGTGTGTTATCCGTGCTGCGTGGCTGCTGCTCCGTCGGTGGTGGAGTCTGCTCTGCACCGACACGCAGGCTTCGACGGCGGATACATCTGGCGCCGACAAAAGAACCGCCATCACGCACCCCGTGCCCCTTCTGCCTGTCCGCAGGTTTCTTCGAGGCAATCGTCAGCAAAACATGCCCGCCCTCAGGACCACCATAATGTGTGTCGAAGGGTGCAGCCTCCTGGTCTTCCATACCCAGGGCAAGCGTGTCGTCGGTGCTGCTGGGTTGATGCGCCAGTGGTGGAGTCTGCTGGTCTTCCATATTCAGGGCAAGGGTGTTGTCCATGCTGCGTGTTTGCTGCGAAGTGTGTCCGACAACAAAGTGCTCCTTCCGCTCTGCATTGTCACGGAGGCTTGGACGGCGGATACATCCGGCGCCGACAAAAGAACCGCCATCACGCAGCCCGCGCTCCTTGTGCCCTTCGAATCCCATTTGGGGGAAGTATGACCCGCCTGCAGGTTTCTCCGCGGGTTCCGTCAGTGAGACATGGCCGCCCTCCGAACCACCATAATGCGTGTCAAAGGGTGCAGTCTCCTGGTCTTCCGTACCCAGCGCAAGGGTGTCGTCGGTGCTGCTGAGTTGACGCGCAGAGGAGCGGATATATCCGCCACCGGCTGAAAAGCTTCCGGCAACTAAGTCCTCCGTCTGCTCCACACTGACGAGCCCGCTCGCATGGCGGATACATCCAGTGCCAACAGAAAAAATTCCAACCCGCAGCCCCCGCCCCTTATCCACCTCAGACCCCGTTGCACAAGGACTCGCAAGAGAATCTGTCCTTTCGGTGGAGTATGACCCTCCTACAGGTTTATCCACCACATTCTCCCCGTCTAGGAGAGTGGCATCCGTAACAACTTCGCACTCCCGAGTGTCGCGTCCTGGATCCTTAGTGGAAGCCATGTCGACCGACTCCACATCTGCCATGAAATTGGATCCGGCAGAAACTGTACCGCGGATACATCCGCTGCTGGGAAATGCGTGTTGTCCTTGGCCAACGAGTTCAGAAGCTTGCAGCGCATGCATCGGCGGTGGAGATTCCACCTGCGGTGATCCCTGCCCAGTTTGTGAGCTCGCACCTTTTGCCGAAGCCATGCCACCCATTCCGCCTGCGATCGTGACCCCTCCAGCGCTCGTAATATTTTCTCGCCGTGCGCCGCCCCCTCTATTGTCGCTTGCTTCACCATATCCACTGTGACTGCCGATGTGGGTTCTGTCCTCACCTCCTCCGTCCCCTCCTTCGTCATCTCCTCCACGTCCGCCCCGTCCAGCTCCCTCTCCGCGTGTTGGGGCACGGGGCGGAATATGGCAGTCAATGTTAGCCTCATAACTTGGACTTGTTTCGAGGTAAAAAAAGTCACGACACAACTCCAACATGCTGTGTTCCCGAAGAATCTCATATGTCTGCTCTCCGAACATTTTGACGACAAACTCATCTGGTTGACGACAGTTTACCTCCGCGACGTGGTCGATAACCGCTTGGAGGGCGGCCTCTTCAAACACGTTTTTTGACAAACGGGGTTCTGATTTCCATTCGCCCTTATCATTGAACGCCATAACCCATTCGCTATCAATAACTGCTGGTTGGAACACATCTGGATGCCAAACTATATGATGACCCCAATCAGACTCGTCGGTGCTCCTGTGCGTTTTCCCGAAGAAATAAAGTTGACCTTTCTGCAATCTCAACGTGTGCGTTAGTGGAAGAGGACGTTTAGGCTTGACAGTGGGGCTTAGAGGTTTGCTTCTCATAGAGGAAAGAAATCCTCTTGAAGAACCCGAGGTTGGCGTTGCGACAGGAGTGACGACAGGCGAACACGCAGCGTGCTTGGAACTAGAAGGCGTTGAAGAGGACGCCATACCGGCGGTATATTTGTGATATACCGTCTCTAAATCCAACGGCTCCTCACCTTTGCTGACTTCTTCCTCGTCGTTTGCGATGAAATTGTCCTCTTCGGTGAACTGAGCTTTGTAATAATTTAATTTGAGTTCCATCCTGCCATTGTCGAAATAGCATTCCTCAAGTTTTTCCACGAAGTTGGCCGCAGCCTCCCTAGAAGCATCATGGTAACCATCCAATGCCCCGATCACGACATCTCGGCGGCACTTGTAGTCGTCGTCGAATCTTAGTTTGGGTCGTGTGTCGAGGAAGAGAAACTTGTATACACTCGCCCTTTTCTCAGCTGATAGCTTGAACCACATGTTCCTGTCTGGATCATGGTCGACCTCTTTTTGCACCTGGTAGAATTCACAGTTGTCCACACCCGTATGCACCTCATGCGCAACATATGTCATCAAAAAGTTGAGGAGCTTTGTGTCTCCCTCGATGGCCACAACATGACGCCCGCTCTTGAGGACTTGCCACACAACCTGGGCGTGTGCTTTGCCGATGAACATAACTCCATTTTCGATTGGGCAGAAGAACTCTATGTGACCCAATAGCATAACCGGGTGGCGCTCCATTTCCTTATAGACGAACCCCTTTATGTGGTGCACACCTGCCAATCCATACGTCGTGGCCGTGAACTGTGTTTCGGCAATGTCCAAGGGTGTGCATTTCTGGCTTTTCCCAAGAGCTGCAGCGTCATCGTCCGGCAATCGCCCCTCATATGTGGGTGGGGTGTTAAGCTTCAGATCATCCCCATGGAAAAGAACATACATCCTGTCCTCCTCGGCCCACACACTGTTCCCGATTTGGTAGTGCTTCTTAACTTGACTCCTCCGAACCCATTTTTCTGCACAACCATTCGTGACAGGAAGAATGTGCAGAAGACCCATGAAGGAGAGGTCCCATTGCCTGGGAACGAAAGCAATCAGAGTCCAGAAATCAGGACACATAGCTTCAAGGAATGCCACCAATGACCGGAAAGCCTCCTCATTCCAACGTGCTCGGTCAACGGGATCGCAGAAGTCGATGATGCAAGTGTGGCATCGCAGCTGCGTCACAACTTTCCTCATCTCATCCTTTCTCAAGAAAGCCGTGAAGGCGTCGTAAGCAAATGGTGCGAGGGTTGTCACTTGACTGGTGTGCTTCCATTTGACATTGGTGCATTCTCCCAGTGCTTGCGGCCCCTCTTCTATTTTGCTACGTTCGCCTTTTAGCACGGACATCACAACCAGCTTCCACTCAGTGGGAAACTTCTCGTGATTGACCAACTTCATCGTCGCCGCCACGTCCTTATCACTCGGACAGCCGAGACACTGGGGGCATTCCTTGAGGTACGAGTGATCTGTGACCCATTTCCTGCAGCCCGCCCACAATTTCTCGTCCAGTCCCTTGGAGGCGTACTCTGCCATCAATTGCTCCTTCGTCCGGAAAAAGGAGTCATTCCAATCATCGTTGTCGCGGCCCTCGTGCTGGAATTGCACAATATGCCACAGTCGGAGCAACATCCGATCTTGCTTGACCATTTCACAAGCATCCTTCATCCCAACCTTCCCCTGCTCAATCAACTTTTTGCTTCCTATCTGCACCCAGACAATGTCCAGGTCCAGTAACCCTCGCAGGATCCGACGTTTCTCCGCATCTGTGAAATCCCCCATGTCTTTCCAACAATGCACATCGGGTTCATTCACTTGCACGAAAAAGTTGCGCTCCTCCTGTTTCCTTTTCTTCTTTCCTTTCCGCATCTCGGATCAGTCACACGCACATTATACACAACTCTCTTATGGCCATCGTTGTCCTCCGCAAATGATTGACCCTCACGGGTGACTTTCGGATCCGCTGTTGGAGGCTTCTTCGTCCACACAGCGCCATCAGGGGCGAGCGTATGGCCCTTCTCCCACTCGTCGTAGAACTTCATGCCAAGCTTCCACGTTTCCTCGTCCGTCATGACCAAAGGCAAGTAGTACCTCAGTTTCTCCGTCCATTCCTTTTTCTTCGATTTCTCATCAGCCAATCCCCAAAGGTTGAAGTAAGGTGTTTTTCTCAAGGCAGCTTTCTGAAACTCTTCGTATTTGGCGACCAAATCCTTCTTGAACTTTATATTGTCGGTGACTGCACGAGGACGGTTCAAGTTATTCCACTCCTGACGAATGTCTGCCATTGACAACCGTTGAGCCCGAGGAGGGGCTAACTTGTCCTTCCTATTCTCGTTCACGTTTATCTGTGTATAACCGTCGAAGTCCTCCTCGGTGAAGTACAACGGCTTGAAGGGCCTGTCGGAGAAGGTATGCTTCTCCCAAATCTCGTGGTTTCTTAACTCCAGCGCAACCTTGACATTTTGCTGCCCGCTCACAGCATAGCACCAGTGCTCGTTCGGGTTATCCACCGGGGTCACCCGAACAACCTTCCGTCCGGGGCTAGAAAGCCCTACGATTGGCGCCAATTTCAAAATTGGCTTCTCGTACGTCTTTCCTTTCTTCTTGAAGGCATCCATCATACACCGCAATATATATGCCGTGTGGGTTGGGTCGATCGAACGATGATTGTACGGCCTTTCCCACGCCGGCAACTCCAAGACCCTCTCCGGGTTGATAGAAAGAGTGACATCTTTCTTTACACCCTCTTTCCATTCTAGAAAGTACCCGGCGTCCAGATCGACAACCTTTTCCTTGTCGTCCTCACTGTCATTTTCATCTGCTCGTGCCCGCGTGTCTTTCGATGACCCCTCCCCCGTTCCACCTCCCCGTCTTGCCTTTGGTGTTTCTGGTTTCCTCCCTCTCGACTTCCTCTTCTTGTCAGATGTCTGGCGAGGGGTACTTGTTTTCCTTTTCTTCTTGTCGGATTGTACGGCCTGTCTGTGTTCGTCTCCAGCCCCCCTGCTATCAGATTCTTCTCCACTTCTCTTTTCTCCCACCGCAACAGGTCTTTTGCCCATGTCCCTTGGCTGCTCCGCAACCTCATGATCTCCTCCCGATGTGCTAACTCCAGTCGTCTTCGCCCCAGTCGACGGCTCATTCGTAGCACTAACTGGACCCTGAGCCACATCGGCGACCGCCCCCTCCGCATGTCTGCGTTCGACAGCTTCACCTTCCGGCTCGGATTCTTCATAAGCACCTGAGGGCTCCGGCTGCTTAGGAACGTAGCTAGGGTCAAGCACTCCAGTCGCACCCTTTGTAGCAACAACAGTCGACATTTCTGAAGTTCGCGTGCGGTCCTCGTCATCGCCAACGTACGAGATCGGCATTGAAATACGATGCTCCTGCGGCACATCTAAACACCTGGCTGGCTGCACCACTCTCTCCCACTCGTCAAAGAAGACCCGCAAGAGAATAGTTGGTTCTAAATCTGATGTTATGGCCGTGTAAAATGGAAGCATGGTGGCTTGTTTGCCGAAACCTCGGAACTTTTTCCAAAACAATCTGACACCATGGGCATCATTGTCAGAACGACCTTCCTTCCCGTATGTCGTCTGAAGGGTGAAAGTACGAACTCCTTCCGAACAATCTTCCCACCCGCTCACGCCCTCGACGAGCCGAAAATTCTTATGGTCTCTCACGAAGACGACTCCACCTCAAGGTGGACTCGACAGCCCGGACTCGTCAGCAGAAACCCAATCAAGAAACCACTGCCGGTTGTCGTACTTGTAGTACGAAGGATTTCTCTTCGTCCCGCCGCTGTGCCGACCACCCGAAGAAGCACGCTGACCGCGTTCCGCTACTGGAGCACCGCCAGAAGTCGAGGCAGACCCACCACGATTTCCACCAGACTCCCGCCCTGCTCGCTGGGTAGCCGTTCTTGCGGAGTCATGTCGTTCGCCAGCACCATCGGACGCCATTTTATCTGCATTTGCAAAGCAAGAAGAAGAACACGCTACTCAGCATGATAGTAAACAGAACGACGTCGACGATGCCCATACTGAGCACATGGCAGTCCGAGGCGCTCGACAAGGGCAGAGTCTTCATCCTCAGCGGCGGATATATCCGCTATAAAAGGCAGCAACCTGACTTTTACGATGCTAAACCTGAGCACATGGCATTTTGAAGCAGATGTATCCGTGACGGGGTCGATTTATCCGCTGCATGGACAACGACGTCGAAGCACCACATCAGGACAACGCAGGGTCTTGATCCTCAGCTGCGGATGTATCCGCCGCATGGACCGTGACACGACATAGACCCTGATGTTTGGGGCGGATGTATTCGCCCCATGATCGGTTGCTCGCGGTCCATGCGGCGGATACATCCGCCCCAGACATCAGAGTCTATGTCGTGTCGCGGTCCATGCGGCGGATACATCCGCAGCTGAGGATCAAGACCGTACGCTGTCCTGGTGTGGTGCTTCGACGTCGTTGTCCATGCAGCGGATACATCGACCCCGTCGCGGATACATCTGCTTCAAAATGCCATGTGCTCAAGTTCAGCATCGTAAAAGTCTGTGAGGGGCAGGGCCATCATCCTCAGGTGCGGATGTATCCGCTGTCGAATGAAGCGGCACTACTTCAATAACGGACACATCCGCCGCTGAGGATGTATCCACTGCCCGACCTCGCAGTACTGTTCGATCGCTCAGAGCAGGGTCCGATGCTCGGCAGCGGATGTATCCGCCAGAGGAGGAAGCGACGTTGTTCGACACGGACAATGCTCATACTGAGCACATGGCGGTTCGGGGTCATCGTCCTCATGTCTGGGGCGGATGTATCCGCCGCATGGACAGCGAGCAACCATCGCCTTGCGCTTGTGAAGGGCAAGGTCATCATCCTCAGCTGCTCCAATTAATTGTGCACCTTCAGCGGATGTATCCGCTATCGAATGAAGCAGCACGATTTCAATAACGGATACATTCGCCGCTGAGGATGTATCCACTGCCCGACCTCGAAGTACTGTGCGATCGGTCAGGGCAAGGTCCTATTCCTCAACAGCAGATGTATCCGCCAGAGGAGTAAGCGACGCAGTTCGACATTGGCAATGCTTATACTAAGCACATCGCGGTTTGGGGTCATCTTCCTCTTGTGTGGGGCGGATGTATCCGCCGCATGGACCATGAGCAACCGTTGCCGTGCGCTTGTTAAGGGCAAGGTCATCATCCTCAGCAGCGGATGTATCCACTGTCAAAAGAGCAGCACGACGTCAATAACGGATACTTCCGCCGCTGACGATGTATCCACTACACGACCTCGAAGTACTGTGCGATCGGTCAGGGCAGGCTCCTGATCCTCAGCGGCGAATGTATGCTATCCGCCGCGGGATTGATATCAAATGTGGAGCGGATGTATCCGCCGCATGGACGATGACCTCGAACTGCTGAGCGCCCGTTAAAGACACGGTCTCCATCCTCTGCATACCCAGTGGAGAAAGGACACCGGCCTGAAACCTCATTTACCATAATCAACTTTCACGTATGTGTGGCAGATATATCCGCGACGCTGTAAGCAGGCGGAATCCTCTCAGAGGATATAGCAGCGCACAAAACAGAGAAACCACACCTGTGCGTGTGGGGCGGATGTATTCGCCGCATGGCCCGCAAGCAACCGTTGCTGTGCGCTTGTGGAGGGCAAGGTCATCATCCTCCGTGGCGGATGTATCCACTGTCGAATGAAGCAGCACGACTTCAATAACGGATACATCCGCCGCTGACGATGTATCCATTGAGCGACCTCCAAATCATGTCGTTTACTCCTCTGGCTTAGGGTAGGGTCCTGATCCTCAGCGGCGGATGTATCCGCGAGAGGAGCATGCGGCACGACTTGTACCCTTCTCAAAATGAGGCCTGCTAGTAAATCATGTCGAATTTGACAATGCTATCTGCCGTGGATTGATATCAAATGTGAAGCGGATGTATCCGCCGCATGGACGACGACCTCGAACTGCTGTGCGCCCGTTAACCACAATCGATTTTCACGTATGTGTGGCCGATATATCCTCTACACGGTAACGTGGCGAAAACCTCTCAGAGGATATAGTAGCGCACAAAACAGAGAAACCACACCCGTGCACAAATTGCGCATCCCGAGATCGTGTGGCGGTTGTAATAAACACAGAGGACGTTTCCCCCCCTGGCAACTAGCGCTCTGTGCCTTCGATGTCCACGTATGTATGGCGGATATATCTTCCGCAGGAAGTGAGCGAAAACACACCGGCCTCGAAACCTCATTAACCACCTTCGACGCCCGTGTTTGTTTGACGGATATATCCTCTGCACACCAAGCGGGCGGAGACCTATTAGAGGATATGCAGATGTACTCTGTGAAGTTTTTCGTTGCTTGTTGTGTAGCGGATATATACGCCACACAGACATGGACGACGAATGTTGTTTTCTCTGTTACATTTTTGCTATACTACTGTATGGCGGATATATCCGCCAGACATACGTTGACATCAAGCGCGGGTGTTGTGTCTGTGTTCTGCACTGATATATGCACTCTGTGAAGCTTGCAGTCCATTGCTGTGTAGAGCATATATCCGCCACACAGACATGGACGTCGAATGTTGTTTTCTCCGTTACGGTTTTCTTGCACTACAGTGAGGCGGATATATCCGCCACACAAACGTGGACATCAAGCGTGGGTGTTGTTTCTTTGTTTTGCACTCACAACAGAGCAACCACACCCGTGCACAATTTATGCATCCCGAGATCGTATGGCGGTTGTAATCGACACAGAGGATGTCTCCCCCCTCTTAACCAGCGCTTTGCGCCTTCGGCGTCCACGTCTGTGTGAAGTACATATCCGCCACAGCAACTGAGCGAAAAAACACCGGCCGCGAAACCTCATTAACCACCCTCGACGTCCGTGTTTGTGTGCCAGATATATCCTCTGCACAACGAGCGGACGGAGACCTCCTAGAGCATGCATCACCTGTGCTGAATGTCCATGTCTGTGCAACGTATATAACAGAGAAACAACACCGCGTTTGATGTCCACTTCTGTGAGGCAGATATATCCGCCACTCAGTAGTTGAGCAAAAACCTCATGGGAGAAACAATACCCGACGTCCATGTCTGTGTGGCGGATACATCCGCCACACAGCAAGCAGCCGGAAACTTCAAAGATTTCATATATATGCCCGTGAATAACGGAGAAACCACCCATGCACCCACTATTCATACCCTGTAACGTCACAAAAATATGTGGTGTTGTAAACAACACAGAGGGTGTTTTCCCTTTTCATGGAAGTTGGTCTTCAATTGAAGGTAACTTTGTCTTACGGAACCCGTTTGGAGAAGCAAAGCAAAGCTGTACGAAAAACAGTTGCTGGAAAGAAAAACCGCTCAAACAATAGACTGTCCTTTCCCGTTGACAAACAACGCTCCACGCTTGATGTCCACGTCTGTGTGGCGGATATATCCGCCGCACGGTGTCTGAGCAAAAACCTAATGGAGAAAAACGTTCACGTGTGTGTGGCGGATATATCTGCCATACAGAAAGCGGACGAAAACCCCTCGTGCCGTATGAATCCTCGTGCCAAACTAAGAAACCGAACCCATGCACGATTCATGTCGTGTACAATCACGAAATTATGTGTTGTTTGTAAACAACACAGAGGATGTTTTTCCCGCTGCCATCCGATGTCTGTGTGGCGGATTTATCCTCCGTACGGTAAGGATAAATTTTGTTCCTAATAATTCGTGTGACTAACAAAAGCGCAAGTTCGATGTGCTACTGAAACCAGTTCGATGCACAACAAGAAGGGGGTTGAATGCACAAGTAGAGGGGTTTGATGCACGACAAAATGCGGTTTGTATGCACAAGCAGAGAGGTTTAAGTAAGGGGTTTCGATGCACAACATGATGGGTTCGATGCACAACAAGAGTGTTCGATGCGCAACAAGAGGTGTTCGATGTACAATAGGAGACGTTCAATACACAACAAGAGGGTTTCGATCTTCTACAAGATGGGGTCCAAAAGTTCCATGCGTGACAATATCGGATATGTTGGAAAGCACAGCACAATGCGTGATGATGACGTCAGCGCACCTTACTGCTGATCGAATGGCTGCCTCCCTCGTTCAGCAACGGTTCTCAACAACCCGTGGCTCGCTGTGCTCAACAGGCCTTAATGATGACGATTCTCAACAACCCGTGGTCCGCACGTGCACGCCCGAAAACCCACGTGGCAATGGTCGGAGACCTCGAACAGGATCGCAATCGTCGTTCAGGAAGATGGCGGAGGATGGGGCAGCATGGTGATGGAAGAACAAGAAGAAGGATTACAGTCGATAAAGATGGCTAACAACGACATGAAGGAGCGTGAAAAAAGAGATGGCGATCGGGACAGGGATGGCGGGGGAAC